TAAGTACATATATATATATATATATATACACACACGGGGACACGTGTGGATAAGTAGACGGAATGACAAGCCAACTGATTAGCTGCATGGGATAACTTGGTTCACAAAACCTCGAGTGGATATTTGATTGATGGTGAGAAGGCTTGCTGTTCGCACAAGAGCACCAGGAAGGTAGTAAATGATAACTGGATGGTCTCAAAGAGCATATGGCGTAAAATGGACTAAGTGAACACTGAGATGCGCGACGAACTAAGGCACTAGTTTTGCGCGAACTGACTGACGACTGAATTTTATTTTGATACTGACGCTCTGCGCTTCCGTGGGACCTCTATTTATACTCCGAAAAAAGAGCGTAATATCCTTTGTCTAGGATGCAATAGTTAGTTGCAATATCGAGCGAGATTTACGATTTTTATAAAGTCCTATCGTTATTAATCTAAAGTGCATTATTAGAGGGGTTTCGAGAAGAAATGATTTACGGTTTTCTTTAAAAAGGCAAGATTACGAATTCCAGGCAGATGACGAATTCTGTTATCCTCGCGGAAAATATAGCAGGTATTATAAATATAGCTAGGTATTATAAATAGACGGTTACCGTGTATATTTAGATAGTTTTGCATGCAGGATAACCATTGTCGCGAGTCCGATCTTAGATAACGCTATCGTGGAAAGTTCTCCTATTTTTTGGCACAACGTGGCGCCTGTTTTTTTTTTAGATGAAATTATTGGTCAGCTTCGGACGACAGCTTGGATTTTTACTATTGCATAACTTAGGTCCATTAGAATGTCTTTCGCAATCTTGCCACTTTTCAGGCCTGCATTAATGTTGTTCCTTCCGGGTTGATTGCCGTTTACGAGTTTTCGCGGAGTTTGTCCAGTCCCTTTTTTCAATTCTTTTAGATCATTATTAGGAGATCACTCGAGTCTCGTAGACGCCAACCGTAGTGTAGCCAACTCTTTCGAAAGAAAAGAACCGTGGCGTCTTTAGGACGTAACAATAATTATATATAAAATATGTCCACATTTATACAAATATATAAAATTATATATATTTTTATATTATATAATTTTGCATAATTATATATAAAATATTTTTTTCTGGGATAACATTAAACTTTGAAAAAATTGATTTTTAAATTTAAAAACTCATGATTAATTGAGATAAAATAAACTAATTATAATATAAAATAAAGAACTTTCAAG